GACTGTACCTGAATGATTTATGAATCAGCCTAGATGTAGAATTTGTTGTTTGTTGTTTCTTTTGTTGTTGTTGTTGTTTGTTATTCTTTTGTTAATGCATCTTTTTTTTTTTTTATTGCTTTGATGTGTGGACGAGCTCACAGCCCACCTGGTGTTAAGTGGTTACCGGAGCCCATAGACATCTACAACGTAAATGCGCCACACACCTTGAGATATAGTTCTAAGGTCTCAGTATAGTCACAACGGCTGCCCCACCTTTCAAACCGAAACGCATTACTGCTTCACGGCAGAAATAGGCGGGGCGGTGGTACCTACCCGTGCGGACTCACAAGAGGTCCTACCACCAGTATGCATTATCTCTGCACCACCCACCCTATGCTCGAAGAGAATGCCCATGGCGTTAAGTCCGCCTGTGTACAAGTTTTGTTTTGGGCATAAAGTATAAATAAAAAAATAAAAGTTAAATTAAGAATGAATACTTTTTGCTGCTGTTCTAAAAAAAAATTGTCGTTGGTTTTACTGTTGCGAATCAACTAAGCCTTTAAAGAGAGGGGACACTGCAATACAAAGAAAAGCATTTGTTTGAGTACCGTAATGTTCTAGTAGCAGTCTTTCAATAATACTACTATCTACGTAGAATCCAGCCGACGTCTTCAGCTCTAATACTAGGAGCGGGCTTAGAGACCACGGTAACCGTACCCATCGAGTCCGCTGAGTATCTCGCCGGATCTTCTCAGCGAGTCGCGATTCCGATCCGGTAGTAGATTCATTCGCGAAGCAATTGCTCTTGAGTTGTTAGGTCTCCTTCGGAGGCGCTCGGGTGGTTGTTGGCAAATCCCACCCCTCCTGGCTGAGCCTTTGCTCGTCCACCTGTCTTGGTGAAACTGGAAAGGCTTCCGGGCCACCAGTAATCTTTCAATCATAAAAAAAAACAATCCAGCCTTGTAAGGCTGTAATATACCGCGGTAGACCGACCAGAAAATAGGTTATTAAAAATGTGATTTTATCAAATATAATTATTATTATAACAAACTTTGTCTTACTTGCTTTACTTAAACTCTGACTGATTTGGTGGTACAGTACTTAGCGTCCCTGACTGTTGCACTGATGGTCGTGGGTTCGATTTCCACATCGAGGATACATTCGTATGATGAACAGGTATTTTTCCTTTTGTCTGGGTGCTTACTATCTGTATATTTAAAAATATGAATATGTATGTCAGTCTCTGATTCCTATAGTACAGAGAAACCTAATTTCGGATCGAATGATCGGGCGCGTGTTGTTTCCGGTTTTTTATTATTCTATACTAATATATAAATCTACAGTGGTTTTTACGGATGTTCCGTTATAACTACTGAACCGTGCATCCGATTGACTTGAAATTTGGTATCCGTGTAGAAAATACATGTATTTAATGGATAGGCTAATGTTTATATAAGTGTTGAACTCCCTACACCAGTTGCGGGGGCGTTAATAATGAGAATCTTTGTGGGGGTGAGAAATAATAACGTTAATTTTAAATGCCCAGCGAAGCGGACGGCTACAGCTAGTATTTATTATGACTCTTAAGACTCTGTTAAGAGTCTGTCTGTTCATTTCGTGTTTCACATGAATTATTTATCCCTTGTGGTCTGTAGATATAGCTTGCCGTCTATTACCGAGTCTAGAATGGCACCTTAAGTCCCTGGAGGTCCGACTCAAGTCGTTTAATTAACAGCGTTTCAAAATCAACAAGAGGTCTTCTTGTGTTTACTTTTCATTTACAGGCGCTGTTTGTCTTTCGGTGCCCGCTACGAATACGATTTTCTGCAGATCCCCTTTGTCATCGTAAAACTAAATTACGTGTCTATCCGATTTTTTTTTTTAGATGTGTCGACGAACTCACAGCCCACCTGGTGTTAAGTGGTTACTGAAGCCCATAGACATCAACAACGTAAATGCGCCACCCACCTTGAGCTATAAGTTCTAAGGTCTCAGTATAGTTACAACGGCTGCCCCACCCTTCAAACCGAAACGCATTACTGCTTCACGGCAGAAATAGGCCGGGCGGTGGTACCTACCCGCGCGGACTCACAAGAGGTCCTACCACCAGTCATACGAGAAATCATTATGATAATTCAAAGCATCTGCACTTTCTAAAATCAGTGAAATGAACGCGGTATTTAAATAACTCAAGATTGACGGAATATCTTTTTTATTTTATTTATAACTAGCTTTTGTCCGCGACTCCGTCCGCGTGGAATAGTTACTTTGGCATAACGCTAAATTTTATCCCCCATTACATTTACGGAGAAAGTGAAAATATCTTTGAATTATAGGATGTTAAGGAGTTATTAAAACCCCTATTTTAAAACATTATTTGTTGGTGCTCCACTTGTATTGGTTTTATCGTGATGTTATATAGCCTATAGTCTTCCTCAATAAATGGGCTATCCAAAACTGAAAGAATTTTTCAAAATGGACCAGTAGTTCCTGAGATTAGCGCGTTCAAACAAACAAACTCTTCAGCTTAATAACATTAGTATAGATATTCTTGAGGTATTTTAGAATTACTTAACTGAAGCAAAATTTTAATTACATTATGAAAACGAGGTCTATAAATCTCCATTTTATGGTCTAAAGCCTATCCCACCGTTTAAACTGGAAGGCGAGGCTGCGAATGAAATAGGCAGGGTGATGGTAGCCTTTCTTTTTCCACCAACAAATATTTCAAAAACAATATTGCCATTATCGAACAATACAAAAAAAGATAAAAGATAATGTCTTTTTTCATTTCTTACTCGACTTAAATTGGCCTTTATCATCTGAGCGTAAATTAAAACCGCAAATATATTGACAAAGTAACAAAGCAATTTACTTCTTAATGCANATGAAATAGGCAGGGTGATGGTAGCCTTTCTTTTTCCACCAACAAATATTTCAAAAACAATATTGCCATTATCGAACAATACAAAAAAAGATAAAAGATAATGTCTTTTTTCATTTCTTACTCGACTTAAATTGGCCTTTATCATCTGAGCGTAAATTAAAACCGCAAATATATTGACAAAGTAACAAAGCAATTTACTTCTTAATGCAGCAGGAGTTCATTGAACCGATTTGTTTCACATCATGTCTTCAATTGTTTGTTTTTGCCGTTATCTGCACAACGGGATGTATAAACCGTAATCTGTTGTTTTAGTCACATAAACACGTGCCAGGAAATAGCTTTTATTTTCATGTAAATTTTCTTTCTAAACTATGTTTTAGCGAGAAAATCACTCGCACAAATTTCTAAGATATGACGCTCAACCAATTAAGGATAAAGGATTTTAGAAAATATGTTTATAATATTAGCGAATATTATAAATTCTTGAAGCAATGTCTTCTTTCAAACGGTAGCATTGCCATGCTAATGTCTAAAGATGACGGTGACTAACTTCCATCGAGTAAATCGTATGCTGCTCCATCTAACGCATAAAAAAATATTTGTAAAAGTTAAAACCATAATACAACAGCTACAAAATGTATCATATTGATATGACATTGAGCTGACAGTATTTAACAATTTTTCTAATGAGATACGTACTCAACAAATTTTCGCGATTGACTACCACGGTGAAGGAATAACATCGCGTAATAAAAATCAAACCCACAAAATTATAATTTGCGTAATTACTGGTGGTGGGACCTCTTGTGAGTTCGCATGGGTAGGTACCACCGCCCCGCCTATTTCTGCCGTGAAGCAGTAATGCGTTTCGGTTTGAAGGGGGGGGCACCCATTGTAACTATACTTGAGACCTGAGAACTTATATCTCAAGGTGGGCGGCGCATTAACGTTGTAGATGTCTATGGGCTACAGTAACCACTTAACACCAGGTGCGCAGTGAGCTCGTCCACCAATCTCATCATCATAATCGGTTGCTCTTGGCAGAGCAGTCGTAGTCATGTGGAACTCTTGCTACGTCCACCAAACTAAGCATTAAAAAAAAAAGCCATTGATCGATTTTTTACTTGCGTAAAAAGACACCGCCTGTCTTCCAGCTTTCAATTGCTTTGAAATAGTGGTCTTATTTACTACCTACAATTTAAACTAAATTTGCTTTATTGCCAAAATAGTCGAAAAGATGACAACAATTCGTGCGTACTCACAATACCAGTCTCAGATATTACGGATACCAAAATCACCGACAGATAACAGTCATAGTAGAAAGGTGCGTTTTCAGTAAATGCACTACAGTTGATAATAAATGGTCATCCCATGGATATGACAATGTGAACAGAGAATACGTTTCAATAAATTAACAAAACGCAACCAGCCTTTACATGAACTCAGAGTTATAGTATTCTTTATTTTATAAATTCAGACGTGATCAACACAGCATTCAGACTAATACCCGACATTGAATTTGTAATTTGGTTTTACAAAAGATTCAATTCAATTTGATTTGGAACACGACTTCGTGTTCGGCGTGACGTGTCCGCCCATTAAAATGATCCAATCGCATTAAGTATTCAATTATTTAAATAGAATATAATTCGTCTCGATCCCTTTGTTACTTCAGAGTTGCAACAGCGAAGTTTTTGAAGTCGTCGTGGCCTAAAGGATAAGACGTCCGGTGCATTCGTTGTTGCGATGCACCGGTGTTCGAATCCCGCAGGCGGGTACCAATTTTTCTAATGAAATACGTACTTAGCAAATGTTCACGATTGACTTCCACGGTGAAGGAATAACATCGTGTAATAAAAGTCAAACCCGCACAATTATAATTTGCGTAAATACTGGTGTTCTAAGGTCTAAGGTCTCAAGTATAGTTACAAGGGCTGCCCCGCCCCGCCCTTCAAAGCGAAACGCATTACTGCTTCACGGCAGAAATAGGCAGGGTGGTGGTACCTACTCGCGCGGACTCACAAGAGGTCCTACCACCAGTAAAAAATGCAAATGTTGCCAGCAAAGGCAGCACGATCCTTAGTTATATCGATTAAGGAAGTGGACCTAATGAATCACATTTTATTTTCAGGATGTCTCCGGCAGCGTCGTTTGCTGAACGATGGGCCCGCGATAACCTGTCCAGAGAAGCCACAGTAAGCGAGCTCCAAGTATTACGCCTCTTCCCGATCACTTGTGACGGAGATGAAGCAGAAGCAAGCAAGAGAGCCAGGAGATACTACAAGGCTAGGGGACCGGGCGGAATGACAGAGCTTTGGCATAAGCGACGTCCTGATGACGAGGATATTCTGTCTAGCTGTCAGGATGCGTAAGTTTTAACTAATATCTTAAAGACTGGTTGTCGATAGCCTATATAAGCTATCTTTTGGAACTGACTGGCCTTTATAGCATAACGTAAATTCTGTCATTCACCTCAGGATATGAGATCGCAACAGTGGTAGGGCATATCATAAGCAAGAACGGGTATCCGCCATCCTGTTTTTATCAACTGCCAAGCAGATACTTTCCAATTTGAAGGGACAAGCGTGATGCATTTCGATCTCATGTTTAAAGGTGGGCCTGAGCATTCTTCATAGCTATCGATAGAAAGAATGCCTTGCATTGCATTGCGGAAAAGCGTCATTTGAATAGTTTGAAAACACCAAGTGACTTCCAATCAGTTTACTGTATTGATTTATGTCTCTTCTGAATTACAGATACATAATCCCGTTACGCGCAAGAAGCGTGGGTGGTCGTCGCATGACGCTGGTCAGGCTACCGGCCCCAACGGCATTGGACAGACCACTTTCGGCAAAAGCCCTGCTGTCGCGATGGCTTATGATTTTAGACATCAGGTACAGAATCCACCTATATTGTATACATGACCAAACAACACCACATAAGTACTATGATAAAATCGGTTGCGAATCTTGGAACATGAGATTGAAGTCCCAACTCTACTAAAATATTCGTTATCCTACCTTTCGAGCCGGATTACATAATTACTTTAAAATATACATATCGGATCAAAAAATTGTTTATATGCAATAAGTGAATATAAACGATGAACAAATAATCTAGTCCTTATGTAGAAAAAATACAGACTTGTAAACCTGAAATTCTACTGTTCGTAATAGATGAAAAAGTAACAGCTAACCAAGTATTTTCTGTTTATATTAAATAGGAATTATTCTAAAAGGTTATGCTCGATATACCCGATTACCGGAGCCCATAGACATCTACAACGTAAACGCCGCCACCCATCTCGAGACATGAGTTGTAAGATCTAAGTTTTAACCGTACAACGGCTGCTCCACCCTTCAAACCGCATTACTGCTTTACGGCAGAAATAGGCAGAACGGTGGAACTTACCCGCGCGGACTCACAAGACGCTCTACCACCAGTAATTATGGAAATTATAATTTTGCGGGTTTGATTTTTATTACACGATGTTATTCCTTCGCCGTGGAAGTCAAAGGCAATATGAGCAAAGTTAAACAATAAAAAAACCAAAATCTCCTATGTGTACTTTTTGAGATTTTTACTTTTTGACCTTTTCGTATAGTTCACAGCCCTATCTACCGTATAAAAAAAAAATGTTATGTGTCTATCTATAGCTTTAATATTTATCTATAGCTTTCATTTGATGTAGTTCTTAAAAAATCACCTTCATATAAAATTTTATACGAAAATGTTTTTACTCGTTAATTCAAAATAGAGCTTTTGCACATAGCAGGTATTGATTTGACAGCGACGATACACGACGATACTTGAAAACTCTTTTATGGTATAGCCTCGTGCTTACATTTACATAACAGACTTACCTAATATATAGCTTAGACATAGATGCTGAAGGCTAGCCAGCGTACAAAGTAAATAAATTAAGTTGGCAAAAGATTATTAATTTAAGCCTTTAAGCCTTAAAAGGTTTCGATGGTATTTTTCAGGCTCCGAGAAGATCCGACTCCTGGTGAAGAAGTAGTTTTCATAGACGTGAGCGACCTTCAACCTTCGCACATTAAAAATCATTTTAGAGGAACGTACTGGAAGGACTTCGTCTGGTGCATGAAGGTACGTACGTACGGTAAACATTAAATTTTACGATTGTTTTTAAGAGAACAATAAAATATTTATTGCCCGCCATTCTTCAGGTTGTTAAGAAACTTTAATGTTCGCCAGAAGGATAACCGCTTTGGCATTTTATTTTGCGACTTCCTTTAGTGTTTTACTATTTAGCTTCACACAACGCGATTGCTAATTGTTTTATTTTGAATGTTTTGTTACCATAAAATAAGGCTGATGTTCACAGTTTAATAGTTAATTAGTAGATAGATAGCACATAAATTCGGTTGAATAAGCAACGTAAGTACACATGGCAACCCTACCGTGTAGCCTATTATATTATTTTAGTCATCGTGGCCTGAAGGATAAGACGCCCGGTGCATTCGTATCGAGCGATGCGCATGTGCCGGTGTTCGGATCCCGCAAGCGGTCAAAAAATTTTCTAATTAAATACGTACTTGACAAATGTTCACGAATCTTCTTCTAAGACTTCCGCGGTGAAGGAATAACATCGTGTTACAGAAATCAAGCTCGCGTGGCGTCTTATGAGCCTACAAGGGTTGTTACTATTCTGGTCTATTTCTGTCGCGAAACATTAAGCTTTTTGGCCCAATATGTCACATAGGATATTTTAAATTTGCAACGACGATATATTATTACTTTTGCCAACATTTCAGTATAATTTCGTCGTATTCTCGATTCAATCTAGGTCATTTACTCCAGTTCCGTACGTCAGAATTTCTGCTAATTCCACATAGTAAATAAACAGTAACAAATCTATACTTTTTTTTATTGCTTAGATTGGTGGACGAGCTCACAGCCCACCTGGTGTTAAGTGGTTACTGGAGCCCATAGACATCTACAACGTAGACGCGCCACCCACCTTGAGATACAAGTTCTAAGGTCTCAGTATAGTTACAACGGCTGCCCCACCCTTAAAATCTAAAAGCATTACTGCTTCACGGCAGAAAATAGGCAGGGCGGTGGTGGTACCTATCCGCGCGGACTCACAAGTGGTCCTACCACCAGTAATTACGCAAATTATAATTTTGCGGGTTTGATTTTTATTACACGATGTTATTCCTTCACCGTGGAAGTCAATCGTGAACATTTGTTGAGTACGTATTTATTTAGAAAAATTGGTACCCGCCTGCGGGATTCGAACACCGTTGCATCGCTTCAACACGAATGCACCAGACGTCTTATCCTTTAGGCCACGACGACTTATATACTAATATATAAATCTACAGTGGTTTTTACGGATGTTCTGTTATAACTATTGAACCATACATCCGATTGACTTGAAACTTGGTATCCGTGTAGAAAATACATGTACTTAATGGATAGGCTAATATTTATATAAGTGTTGGACTCCCTAGTAATAATGACAATAAATAATAATGTTAATTTTAAATGCCCAGCGAAGCGGGTGAGGTACGGCTAGTGTACTTATAAATCCTGTGATACTTTCTCAGATACACTATGATGCTGCACAGTTAATAACAAATTCAATTCTTACTCCACCGCGATTGTCAATTTGAATGTTTTCTTTTCAGTCTGCTTACCCGCTTCGGTTCGCAGAAGTTCACGTAATTAACACGCAACGGCTCAAGACCGTCTCATTACTGCTGCTGCATATCGGACTGTATCCGTGGAGGCGTAAAGTCGTGACTATCCACACGAATACAGAAGAAATAAATCAAGCCATGGGCATCGATTATTTCCCTACAGACGGATTGCCATACGAGTACGGCGGGAAAGCTGGCTCTATAAAAGATCTGAACGGTAATTTCACTGTTCTACTGTTGTAATTTTTCATTTATTGCCTTGATGGTTGGACGAGCTCACAGCCCACCTGGTGTAGCAGACGCTTTCTTATTTAGATATACTTTGGGTTTGTGAGGAGGAAGATTTTACAATAAAATAAAATTATGATGCAACTTTCGTGGCTGACAGTTTATTAATTATAACTTTTGAAACAAAATTAAAAATTATAAAAATATAAATGACAGTTGTTGCTTTGCAACTAAACTTTTTACTGCGGTTCCGAACACCTGGTGTTAAGTGGTTACTGGAGCCCATAGACATTTACAACGTAAATGCGCCTGCTACCTTGAGATATGATCTAAGATCTCAGTATAGTTACAACGGCTGTCCCATCCTTCAAACCGAAACGAATTACTGCTTCACGGCAGAAATAGGCAGGGTGGTGGTACCTACCCGCGTGGACTCACAAGAGGTCCTACTATCAGCATTTATTGCTCATATCTAATTTAGTTATAGTCTCGAGATACGATAGTAGTAATTTGGTGGAAATTTGAGCTTTCACACTTAAGAATCGAAGGTAAATTACAATGAATCAGTACTCAAAATAGTAGTTTTCGCTGCGTCTTTTGAAATGGATTTTTTTTGTTGAGCCACTATTTTGTGATATCGTGCCAAGAGTCATTATATACAGTATATGATAAATGAAACAAAGAATCCGGTTTCAGAAATTACACACCCTGTATATAAACTCGACACTTAAGATCCTTAGGGTGGATGATTCGTACTACCTCAATTAAAGGAAAACACAGCATTCATAACAATACAATTTATGCTCGAGGAATGTAAAAAATATGAAAAAAAAAAACAAACGCTTGAAATAAAAATTCACTCAACTGAACATCTAATAAAAGTCATAAAAAAATAGACATATATTTAACCAAATCAATCAAATACAATAGTAAAATAACCATAACTACAAAACCAACAAAAAAAAACATATTTTTATATTACTTCATATTTCCGTAGCATTGAAGCATTTTTAAACCTGACAACATTTACAGTTGAAATTACAGTTTTGGATAAACAATTAAAAACAACTTACAGATCAATGGACAAAAAAGTTGCTAACCAATTCGAAATGGCTGGAAACGGAAGAAAGAAAATTTTACGATACCGAATTGAGGCCGGAACTACGGACGCGCCGCCAACGTAGCGCCATGAGAACGTTGAGGAGTAACATCGGCTCATACGACATGATCACCAGAACCCACTCCTGCAGGTCGTTGAACCAGCGCGACGATTTAGACGAAGGACTTCACGGGGCGTACAGAACGCTAAAAGCAAAAACGGACAGGCCAGGGAAGAGTAAATCATGATTAGCTTGTAAATTGTATTAAATATTGTTCGCTTTTATACGATAAGATTTATAAAATAAAGATGATTTGATTCTAAAATTGATTTAGAGGAGTTACTTTGAAATTGACGTGTACAATATAATAAATAAGAACCTTTCGTCATTATCAGCTCGTGTCCCGGCACTGATGGATAAGGTTGATTCATAGTGCGTGAGGCTGAATGATTGTCCGCCTTCTGCATTCGTACCTGAGAGTCGATAGAGAGTGCCTTGCCTTACACTGGACTTGCCCTAGCCCACTGAGTTTCTCGCCGGATATTCTCGGTGGGTCGCGTTTCTGATCCAGTGGTAGATTCTGAGAAGCACTGCTGTTGTTAGGGCCAGTGTTAACAACATTTCCATTTTGAGCCCTGAGAGCTCATCTACCCGCTAGGGTAACGCTGATATAGCTTCTCAAGGATATCAGCATAGGTAGGAAAAAAAAAGGACTTGCCGGTACACGATTCCCTCTATATTGGTTATGTAGCTTAGGTGACCGATGCGATATTTGAGCAGCTTGCTTGATGCATCTTCATGGCTATACGAGTCACCCAAATACTTCGGCTTAAGCCCGTTCGACTCGCTGAGCGATTTAAAACGAACAGATTAGCTTATACCTAGTGACGGTCTGTGTTTCGCACCCGCTTCGGTAATACGATCGACTATACAGAAATGTTAATTGGGTTTGACAGCTTTGGGAAAGACATGTTTGGAAATGGCTTACTGAAGAAATTGAGTTTAGATTCAAATTTAATGGCAGCCGATCGTTCCGGAAGATTCTTCACACCCACCACTCAATCGTTACTTTGACCGCTGTAGTCAGTCAGTGGTGGTGATAGGCTAGGCTTGGATAGAAATACTAATATAAAATTTGAATTATAAATTAAAATAATCAGTTTACTGCTTTAAAATTTATTGATTTTTTTCCCTTCCTAACCTAAAATTTGTAGCCTAAATAGCTGTTTCAACTACGCACGGCTTGGTAGGTGAGCTCATGGGGCTCAACTTAGGACTTGCTAACACGAACCCTACCAAGAGCAGTGCATCACAGAATCTACCACCGGATCGGAATTGCGACAAACTGAATCCGGCTAGAAACTCTGTTGTATCTATGGGACTTTATTGAAAAGTGGCCGACAAATTTTAGACATAACATGAAATCGCAATGACATTACTTTTTAATAGCATACCGGAATGTATTAATAACTATGCAATAATAAGCATATGAACGAATCAAAAGAGCCTTAATAAACAAAGACAGTTTGAATATGACGTTAATTTATTATCTTCTATATTTTGTTTCAAATCAATTACATATTTCGTTTTATCAATGTCGTCTCAACTTCGAAGTTTTATATAAGTTTCACAGTTAATTTAAATAAGAAGTTAAAACGTAATACTCATTATCATACGTTTCTAGACGTAGTGTTTTATTTTTTTAAATGTTCATTTTTTTTTATTAAGTACCTACGTAATAAAAATTCTAATACATTTATGAATAACAGTATGCTTTTTATTTGAAATTAAATCTAGATTAAATTTGAGAAAACACTTTTTTTGAGAAAAGATTAATTTTGATTAATTATTAAATAAATAAAAATAAATTAAGATAATTTATTATTAAAACTTTTTACTGTACACGCCGTAAAAAACTTCTGCTACAGTGACACAGGGCACATACGTTTGCCTTTCAAGCGTCGATATACAGGGTGTAGTTATATGGTTAGAACTAAAAATCATCAATAAATAAATTTATTTCTGTGAATGATTTTCTGAATTGTACGTTATGTTACAAAATGAGAAATCACAATCACAATCACAAATCATATGCATAATCTATGTTCTCGAAGCAACATACACGTTGTCATCATCATCAGCCTGCGGCAGTTCACTGCTGGGCATTCATCATCATCAGCCTGCGGCAGTCATACACGTTGTGTTTCTTTTAAATCGAAATAGCAATTTACGTCGCTTTTGTATTCGACTATCGGCTATCTTTACTGGCGGTAGGACCTCTTGAGAATCCGCGCGGGTAGGTACCATCACCCTGCTTATTTCTGCCGTGAAGCAGTAATGCGTTTCAGTTTGAAGGGTGGGGCAGCCGTTGTAACTATACGTGAGACCTTAGAACTTATGTCTCAAGGTGGGTGGCGCATTTACGTTGTAGATGGCTATGGGCTCCAGTAACCACTTAACACCAGGTTGTGAGCTCGTCCACCCATTTAAGCAATAAAAAAAATTAAAAAAAAAACTTTGACAGTAACAAATAAGTTTCATCACAAGCTATTTGATGTTTGAGTTGATTTGTAGCGGAATAGGCAGTAACACAGGTAGATAGCAGATAGAAATTTCTGTTCATAAGAGCATACAAAATATTACCCTACTGTTGTATTTAACTTTAACTCAATTGCTGAAATTCAATGACCTAAAAACAATTCAGCTCGTCTCTCGTCTCGATGCCTTTTCTGTCTGACCCAAAAATGTTTGAAGCAAACAATTTTAAGCACTCTTAGTGATTTTAAGAGAAGGTCAGATGCTCCGTGTTCTCATATCCTGGAGCTTAGACCTTCTAGTACGCATACAGTTTCTACTTTTTAAGCTATGATATAGATTTTATTGCGGGCCTTGAGCGGAATCATGAAATTCCGTAACGAAAAAAACCTTCCACCCCTCACTACGACTACACTATGTACTACTATGTAGCTTGCGTTCAACACATTTACACGTTGCCCTTGTGTAGTGTTTAAAGTAAGTAGTCTAAACACCGATTTATGTACTATCAAAATATGTGATATAATTTCGTGGGTAGCACCGTGGGTAATATCTTTACCGCGGCAGTCTCCGAGTGCCACACGTCTTTTTTTTTATTGCTTACATGGGTGGACGAGCTCACAGCCCACCTGGTATTAAGTGGTTACTGGAGCTCATAGACATCTACAACGTAAATGCGCCACCCACCCTGAGATATGAGTTCTAAGGTCTCAATATAGTTACAATGGCTACCCCACTCTTCAAACCAAAACGCATTACTGCCTCAAGGCAGAAATACAAAATATTAATAGAAATAGAAAATAGAAATAGTAAATGTATACATACATTCATCAAGGAATTCCATAGTGAAACAGTACGTCCCACGCTTTTTCAATTAGGTCGCGCCAGTTGTAGTATCTAAAATCACTATAATCAAATAAATTAAAAAAAAATACGCCACGATAGGTAGTCAAAAGCCCTCAAAGAAATTTGGAAATTATGAATTTGAAAATAGAATTTATTTTTCAAATGCTTTTTTTCGCGATAAAAACTACAAGACTTTCTAATGAAATATCAGACAATTAAAAATATTCGCTACGATGGTTCGCGAAATATCTTTCTAAGTATGTGCCACACAGACACGGCTGTCAAGGAATTTACTCTGGGAGAAGGTCTATAGTTAACAAATGATTTCTACCTATGCAGTGCTAGCCAAGGATGTCAAAACATGAATTTCGTCGCCAAAGTCTTAATTTTATTTTAATATATTATTATGTATATCGACGCTTGAAAGGCAAAAGTGACTAAGCGACAATAACTGCTTTGTACATAAATGATAGGCAATAACCATATTCGATGCGCAAAAAAATATATATTTCTAGGTCTATTAAAATCATTTCAATCCTACAGCTACTAGCTAGATTCTACTACAGGTGGATTCGTTAAAATAAATTTTGTTTTCAGGTATTTCAACTTTAAATTAGTCTACTGTAAAGTTCACGCATTGTCACTTAGTCACGTTTGGCTTTCAAGCGTCGATATACAGTTCTTCTGACTGCGTGATTTTGATGAATTTTTTGTGTGTTTTCGCATGGATTAAAGAATAGTTTAAATCCATAATTCAGGCCACTACAAAAACAAAATAATATTAATATTATTTAAAAAAAAGTATGAAATTTTCTGAATTAATATGTGTACGGAACAACGTCTCTCGGGTAAGCTAATAGTATTATAAAAACGGGTGGGCCACCCTTTCGACAGGATCGTATGACTTTACGGCAAAAACAAAGAATATGATTGAATCTACACCAAAATAATAAATGAGCTAGTTCGTATGTTTGGATTTATGTGCCTAAAACCCGCAAAAGTGGCAGTAAAAGTGTAGAAATTTCATGCTTCGTGAATCTAATGTCCTTATTTCCAAGGCGTTTCCAGTCCACCATTTAAAAACTTCAAAATTCGTGATGTGATTTTGAAATTTTCTATATTATTGAAATAAAATTTATGTATGTGCATTGCTTTGTAGAGAAAGAAACCAGAATCTGTAATAACGTTCGAAAAATATTAAATTACGATTGAATTATACTAAGCTACAATCATATTCGTGACGAACTATTTACAAATACAAATATTTTTTGCGTTATAAGCTAAGAAAGAAAATTAAATAAGACTGGTTTTAATCACGTAAAAAAATATAAATTAATGAATTTGTTAATTCGTGTTAAGTTCACGAGTTATTTATCCGATGTAGATCAAACTGTATGTGGTTATTGTTGACTAGCGTCCCGCTCCGGCTGCGCTCGGGACTTTAACAAAAACTTCAACGATATTTGACATGGTTTTATTTTTTAAATAAAAGAACAGCTGTTGCAGCATAACTATAATAGTTAGACATATGCTGTCGTGACACTTTTTGTAAATAATAATATGTTCCACAAAGTCGTAGTACATTATTTTATTCTATCATCAATAGTTTTCGCAAGGCACGCGATGTAAAGAATATTTTAGATACTTTTTTTACACCTTGGGTTACATTATTGGAGTTTTAAAAAGGATCCCTAATTCTTTTCAAAAAATATTATAGCCTATGTCACTCGGGAATAGTGTAGCTTCCAAAGAGTGAAAGAATTTTTCAAATCGGCTTGGTAGTTTCGGAGCCTATTCAATACAAAAAACAAACAAATCTTTCCTCTTTATAATATTAGTATACTTATAGATTACCATTTACGAATAACAGATGGCGCTTGTTAATGGTAAAAAAAGCTAGTATATTTTATATTAAATGTAGCAACAGTCATGGCGAAGCGCAACCGAGCATCACAAGTAAAAAATAAATAATACGAAAAATCTCGCCA